TCATCAAAATTGCCAATAATGAAATGATAATGAAATTTTGAAAGTTTTATTAGAGTTCTGAAATTTTCACCACCAGGACTTTAGCAACACTGTAGAAGCAAAGCACCAGCGCCCCCTAGTTTTCACCACCAGAACTTTGGTTTTGTAAGTACTTTAGAACCATTTAGGACCATGGATTGCCCATGCTTCTTAAATAGCCTCTGTGTGTCTGTCTATATGTGTTGTGTGTCTATGGCATTGAATGTTTGCCATGTATATGTGCATTGTGATCCACCCTGAGTCCCCTGTGGGCAGAATATAAATACTGTAAATCTATATAAATAAAAATGTAATGTTCGTTTGTGGGATTCACAAAACTCAAAAACCACTGGACGAATTGACACCAAATTTGGACACAAGACACATAACAACCCAATGTATGTCCTTCACTCAAAAAAAGAGATTTTGTCATTTGGGAGTTGTAGTTGCTGGGATTTATAGTTTACCTACAATCAAAGAGCATTCTGAACCCAACCAACAATGGAGTTGAAACAAACGTAGCATAACAGGACTCCCATGACCAACAGAAAGCACAAGAAGGGTTTGGTGAGCATTGACCCTTGAGTTTGGGAGTTGTAGTTCACCTACATCCAGAGAGCGCTGTGGACTCAAACAATGATGGATCCAGACCAAACTTGGCCCAAATATGAACACAGATGGAGTTTGGGGGAAATAGACCATGACATTTGGGAGTTGTAGTTACTGGGATTTATAGTTCACCTACAATCACAGAGCATTCTGAACCCCACCAACGATAGAATTGGGCCAAACCTCCCACACAGAACCCCCATGTGGGCCACAGCAACGCGTGGCAGGGGACGGCTAGTAAATAAATAAATATTGGGTTGTTGTAGGTTTTTTCGGGCTATATGCCCATGGTCTAGAGGCATTTTCTCCTGACGTTTTGCCTGCATCTATGGCAAGCATCCTCAGAGGTGGTGAGGTCTGTTGGAAGTAGGAAAATGGGTTTATATATCTGTGGAATGACCAGGGTGGGACAAAGGCCTTTTGTCTGCTGGAGCTAGGTGTGAATGTTTCAACTGACCACCTTGATTAGCATTTAATGGCTTGGAAGTGCATGAGTGATTCCGGCCATGAAAGCCTTCGACAATACATTAAATAAATATTAATATCTACTTTCACACCAAATAATTCTTCAAGTCACAATATAACACCACTGATATTTTTTTTTGAGAGATCCATCTCATGTTACTCATGTAATGTAAATAAAGGCTCCCCTTTCTTTTCTGGGGGTGAGACCACCACAAATTCCATTTTTTTGTCACAAATAAGGTGTCTTTTTCTTATTATTCATGTCCCGATGCAACCAAACACAGATTGGAGCTCATATATACCCAAGAACTTTGTGTCCTCAACATGTCATACATTAGAAAAGAACAAATTAATCATTACTCTCTATTATGACGATAGTATATGATACCCGGCAATGGAAAGCACTTTCCCACTGTGAGGCAGCTGGCAAGCATTTCTACCCCAAGGGAACATCCAGAAAAGAACATTTCCTAATAGTATAAGGGAAGATGTATAACAATTGCAATCTGCCCAGCTAGAGATTATCTCTCTTTTACCCGCTTCCTCACCTCATAAGCAAGCATGTTTATTTTCATCCCTCCAGGAAAATGAACTCTGCTTATGCAGCTGAGCTGAAATCTGCAAGAAAGTTGTAGTGTCAGTGCAGTATTGCTGTTTACTGAGGCATTTACAATTTGCCCTCCGAATGTGCCTCAATTCAAAACGTTTGCAGGTCAAAACACTTAATGCTTCCATCTGTGTTTGAGAGGAGTAGATGGTAGGTATTGTTGCTGACTCCCTCCTCGGCAGGATAAATAATTGCAGCCTGTTAATTTATGGCCTCTGCTCTGCATTCTGGCACCTCTTCTGTGCAGTGAAACGGAGGTGGGTGAATCTGCTTCAGGCTGCTTGTCATCCTTTCCCAACAGAAGGACTGTTTTTTCCGGGCTTCCCAGTCTATTGCCACTATGAATTACTTTCATAAAAGTTTACATTTGCAGCACATTTTACTGTCTCTTTTATCCTTGGTTTCATGATACTTTAGGGCCAGTAGCTATACCCATTTTTTATTCTCCCTGAAGAGTGAAATTTGCTTCCACCTCGAGATGAGAACTTGGCCAAAGTAACCCAGAATTGACGCTGGAGATAATAATAATAATAATAATAATAATAATGATGATGATGATGATGATGATGATGATGATGATGATGTGAGGGGTATTTTTTAAGTAAGGTTCATTTTGTTGTAGACACTAGTAGTTTGCGCGTATACCGCAACGAGCGCATGCGTCGTGTACCGGCATGCCTCGGGAACAACTGTGCTCAGTTTCCGCTCTGTAGCTAACCTGTACGGTTCTGTTCTGTGCTTTAAAAATGTTTAAGACTATCAACTCACCCTCCGCATGTGAGGTTCGCTCAGTGATAAGGTTTTTGTCAGCAAGGAACCTGCCTGCTACAGAAATTCATCGACAGATTTGTGAAGTGTACGGTGATACTGTTATGAGTGAAAGCAAAGTGTGTAAGTGGGTACGACAATTCAAAGATGGCTGTGACAACATCCATGATGAGGACCGCTCCGGTCGGGAGTTGTAGTTTGGGAGTTGTAGTTCACCTACATTCAGAGAGCACTGTGGACTCCAACAATGATGGATCTGGACCAAACTTGGCATGAGTATTCCATATGCCCAAATATGAACACAGATGGAGTTTGGGGAAAATAGATCTTGACATTTGGGAGGTGTAGTTATCGGGATTTATAGTTCACCTACAATCAAAGAGCATTCTGAACTCCACCAACGATGGAGTTGAACCAAACTTGGCACACAGAACTCCCAAAATACTGGAAGGGTTTGGTGGACGTTGTGTTTTGGAGTTGTAGTTCACCTACATCCAGAGAGCACTGTGGACTCAATAATAGATCTTGTGCTGTTATGGCTGTACCAGGAGCTCCAACTTTATTTTCTTTCTTTTATCTGTTTTGCAGTCATAGGGCAGGCCTCCTGTCCATCATAATTAAGCTTTGGTTCTGCCCCTCATTCAGGGCTCTGGTAGGGAAAGGAGCCATTTTTTGGGGCAGTCTCACACAAGGTAGCTAAGCTATAGGACGTAGACCAGCTTGTCCCATAGAAAAGCTTCTTTTCTCAATAACATCTGGGGATACAGAAACAGAAATTCCAGGGGAAAGGTCCCAAAAGCTCTGGCTGAGAGCTCACAGCCTCTTAGCCTCACAGCATCAGAGGGAACAGCTCTGAAGTTTTCTAAGAATTCTTGAAGGGAGAACAGCATTACAGACCCACGGAAGTCCAACTGAAATATCTACAAGCCTTGGCTGGTAGGTCTACTCGATGCCCAGACACATTTGCAATCAGTAGTAGGACCCACATCAACGAGGCCTAGATAATAGACAGCCTAGGAGAGGTTAAAAAGGGTTTTTTCTTACAGAGAAAGTACAGTTAATTAAAGTCAGGTACCAGTCCATTGAGGACTAGACTAAGAAAGCCTTGAAGTGTTGTTTGAACCATTGAAGATTTGTTGTTTGTTCCATAAGAAAGACTTTGTTGTATCATTGAAGACTCTAAAGACCATCACTTCAGAAAAATCCCTGAGAACCTCTCTTTGAGGCGCCCCTGGCTTCCTGCTGGGCTTAAAGTATACGTCCCATAGAAAAGTACAGCTGTTACAGGCCCAGCGTACGACAGAACAGATCTGGACCAAACTTGGTACAAATACTCAGTCTGCCCAAATATGAACACTGGTGGAGTTTGGGGGAAATAGACCTTGATATTTGGGAGTTGTAGTTGCTGGGCTTTATAGTTCACCAACAATCAAAGAGCATTCTGAACCCCACCAACGGTAGAATTGGGCCAAACTTTCCACACAGGACCGTCCAGCCTTGCATGCACATGTGCACCACGCTGCCATGCGCCAGGCACGTCTGCTCTTCCCTCCCTGCTTGGAGTCTCATAAACAGCCCTCCCCTTGTCTGAGAGGCCAGCCAATTGCAGCAGAAGAGGGCCTTTGGTGGGAGGATTCGCCGTCTGTTTCCAAAACGGAAGAGAAGGACAGGCGGAGAGATCTTCAACCTTCTCTGCCAAAGGGGTTCCTAAGATCATCAGAAATGTATGTTTTCTGACGGTCTTTGGTGACCCCCTCTGAAACCCTCTCGTGACCCCCCCAGGGGTCCCGACCCCCTTGTTGAGAAACACTGTGTAGCTCAATAGCCCCATCTAGAAGAGGAGAAATATTTGAGAAAAGCTGTGGTTAAAATATAACGTTTACACATCTGTATATTTTAAAACAATTTTCTCTGCAATAACTCTGTTGAATGGAGAAGCCTTTAAAAATATTTATTCATCGGGAAGTTTAAAGTATTTCTTTATTGTCTCCCAGCCCACAAGGGTTCCCAAGGCAATGAGCAAATTAGAAAAATGCAGAGATGGGGGGAAAAAATTAAGAGAACAATAAAATGATCTTTATAAACTCCTAAAAACAATAATAAAACACTTTTTTAAAAAAAAAGTGAAAGCAGAGCATTTTGAAACATTAAATGCCATACAGAATAGCACTGATTTGACTGCCTGCTAGAAGTTTAAAAGAGATGGAGCCATCCTAGTTTCTTTGGGTGGAGAATTCCACGGCAAACAAAATCAAAGTAAATGATTAAAGTTGTCACCTTTAAACGTACAATTTACTGATCAACATTTATGGAAAACCCTTTAAGGTTTACATTCCAGAAGCTCACATTTAAAAATGCGGACTTTTCAGATTTTGAATCGGAAGGTGTTTCACCTTTGTGTGAACTGATCTAAATTGCAAGCTTATGTTGGAATTGCCTCTGCATATATGAATAGTATAAAGGTAAGTCTTGAATTAAAGATTAGAAGCTATGTTCAGTCCAAAGGCTAAGCTACAGTTTATGTCTTCTTCAGGCTCAACCTACTATGACAATGTCCGCCCATTGGCTTATCCGGATTCCGATGCTGTCCTGATCTGCTTTGACATTAGCCGTCCTGAGACCCTGGACAGTGTCCTTAAAAAGGTAAGCTTGTTAAAATCAATTGGTGAGGATGGGATGTGTTGTGTGGATTGGGTGTAATTTTGCTATTGGTGAGGAAAAAGAATTATTTTATAGCCATAATTTCGTTGAGCGAGCAGGAACCTTTGTTTGCTCAAAAATTGTAATTGTGCCAAAGCTTGCACTATCTGTGGTGTCCCTTGTACAGCCTGTGTTCCTGACTTGTGACTGTGTAACTGTAATATGCTGATGACAATGTCATCTGTGCACATTCAGAAGAAGACCTACAAGCCTCTCTAAACACCCTTGAGATGCTCAGCCTGTCATTGAACATTGAGAAAACCAAAGTGCTCTTCCAGCAGTCACCAGCCAATCCCTCTCCAATGCCAGAAATACAGCTTAATGGTGCAACATTAGAAAATGTTGACCATTTGGTGTCATATGGTGACACCATACAAATTAGGAAAGTACTATAAAAATCTGAATTCAAAATGTTGGAAATGTGGAACAATAGAGTGCACATTCTACCACATGTGGTGGCAATGTAAAAAAGCAAGAAATTATTGGAGAGAAATTCAGGATACCCTTCAAAAAATTTTGAAAATTAATATTCCCTTAAAACCGGAACTATTCCTATTGAGAATTATGGATATGAAACTAGAGAATAACACAGATAAGCTTCTATTTTTAGCCACAACTGCAGCCAGAATATGCTATGCCAAAGTATGGAGAAAGAAGGATATATTCACAATTGAAGATTGGATGAAGAAAATGTTGGAAGTAAAAAATATGGATAGACTAAGTTATTTACTACAAAGATATAAAGGGAAAACAGAAAATGAAACGAACTGGACAGTTTTTGATGATTATTTAATAAGCCAAAAGGGGGGATAATTCCTAGAAAGAAACCTTCTATATAAACTTTATTCCTCTTTATTTTGTATTATGTGATGGTTACGAAGAGAAATAAGAACAATGGAAATACAAAAGAAAAGGAAGAAAACCACTCCTGGAGGACCCCGGAAGTCAGACCGAAGAAGAAGAAACTTTTTGATTCTATTTTTGATTCTCTTTTTGAAGACCTTTTTATTATTGATTGATACCCTTTTTAAAAACATAAAATCTATATTTTTCTTTCGTCTTTTTGCTATCCACCCTCTTTTATATCCCCTTTTCACTTTCTATATTTTTATCTTCCCCCCCTCTCTTACCACTTTTCTTTCTTATTTCTTCTTTTATCACTACTTTCTTTTTTTGTTTTCCTCTCTTTTAAACTATTATGTATTATTAAAAACTAAAGAAAATGTTGACCATTTCCACTGCCTTGTCAGCGACCTCTCCATAAAAGTCAACATTGACACTGAAATACAACACCGCTTGAGCTCTGCGAGTGCAGCATTTTTCCGAATGAAGTAGAGAGTGTTTGATGATTGGGACATCCGTAGGGATACCAAGGTGCTTGTTTATAAAGCTATTGTCCTCCCAACCCTGCTATACGCCTGTGAAACGTGAACTGTGTACAGACGTCACATGCAACTCCTGGAACTATTCCATCAGCGTTAACTCCGTAAAATCCTGCAAATCTCTTGGGAAGACAAATGGACAAACGTCAGCATGCTGGAAGAAGCAAAGACCGATGGTCCTCCGCCATCAACTCCACTGGATCGACCATGTTGTCTGGATGCCCAACCACCATCTCCAAAAGCAGCTGCTCTACTCCAAACTCAAGAACGGAAAATTGAATGTTGGTGGGCAGAAAAAGAAATTTAAAGATGGGCTCTAAGCCAACCTTAAAAACTCTGGCGTAGACACTGAGAACTGGGAAGCCCTGGCCCTTGAGCGCTCCAGCTGGAGGTCAGCTGTGACCAGCAGTGGTGTAGAATTTGAAGAGGCACAAATGGAGGGTGAAAGAGAGAAATGTGCCAAGAGGAAGGCGCGTCAAGCCAACCCCGACTGGGACTGCCTTCCACCTGGAAACCAATGCCCTCACTGGGCATGCAGATCAAGAATAGGGCTTCACAATCACCTACGTACCCACCGCCAGTACACCGATCTTGGAAGACAATCCTACTCGGACAATGAGGGATTGCCTAAAAGAAAAGAAAAAAGACTGTGTAAAGCATAGGTGGATGACACTCTGGTTGAATGTGCCTTTGACAACTTGCAGGAGAGTGCAAGCAGGTAGTTGTGTGCAATTGTTAATTCAGCAGCCACAAAAATGTGCACATCTGCTGCAGAGGGACAATACGTGTTGTTCTTACATGCTGTACTTTGTACACTTTGTGGAGCATTGGCTCTTCTCCACTCGTCTACTGAAGTGTATGTTCTTGTAATAAAGCCTCCTTAGGACATGCTGCTTGCTGACATGTCACCATGTTCCATTCTTTTAAGGAGCTGCTTGTAGCCTTTTCTTAGATCTGCACGGATGCTCTTCCAAATCTTTGGTTTGCAGAGATGGCTTTATTACCTGGAAGACATATTTTCTCCCCTCTGGGTTCTGATACTATAATGCAAAGTACCATTGTACCGATGCACTACCATTTCAAAAACGTTTTTTAGAAGAGAAAAAGGAGCAAAATATACTATTTTGTTTCAAAATGATTCCTCACTTGAGGAGACACAATGGTAAATCAGTACTGAGAATTGCCAGAAATAGTTTTAGAAAACTGAAATTTTGTTTGGATTTTTAAGAAACCGTAAACTACAGCAAAACATACAGTAACCACCCCCCCCCCCACACACACACACACATTTGCCTCATCTAGAAGAGCCCATTTTATGCTAAGCCAAAGGTTATGACTGGCGTCGTCATACAGACGCCAGTCATAACCTTCGGGGAGATGGAGCGGTATATTAATAATAATAATAATAATAATAATAATAATAATAATAATAATAAATATTATTATTATTATTATTATTATTGGAGCCCCCGTTGGCGCAGTGGGTTAAACCCCTGTGCCGGCAGGACTGAAGACCGACAGGTCGCAGGTTCGAATCCGGGGAGAAGCGGATGAGCTCCCTCTATCAGCTCCAGCTCCTCATGCGGGGACATGAGAGATGCCTCCCACAAGAATGATAAAAACATCAAATCATCCAGGCGTCCCCTGGGCAACGTCCTTGCAGACGGCCAATTCTCTCACACCAGGAGTCACTCCTGACATAACAAAAAAAATATTATTATTATTATTATTATACAAAAATACAGAATGGGGGACGCGTGGCTCGAGAGCAGTACATGTGAAAAAGATCTTGGGAGTCCTCGTGGACAACAAGTTAAACATGAGCCAACAGCGTGATGCAGTGGCAGAAAAAGCCAATGGGATTTTGGCCTGCATCAATAGGAGCATAGTGTCTAGATCTAGGGAAGTAATGCTACCCCTCTATTCCGCTTTGGTTAGACCACACCTGGAATATTGTGTCCAATTCTGGGCACCACAATTCAAGAGAGATATTGACATGCTGGAATGTGTCCAGAGGAGGGTGACTAAAATGATCAAGGGTCTGGAGAACAAGCCCTATGAGGAGCGGCTTAAAGAGCTGGGAATGTTTAGCCTGACGAAGAGAAGGCTGAGAGGAGGCATGTATAAATTTGTGAGAGGAAGCCATAGGGAGGAGGGAGAAAGCTTATTTTCTGCTGACCTGGAGACTAGCATGCAGAACAATGGCTTCAAACTACAAGAAAGGAGATTCCATCTGAACATTAGGAAGAACTTCCTGACTGTGAGAGCCATCCAGCAGTGGAACTCTCTGCCCCGGAGTGTGGTGGAGGCTCTTTCTTTGGAAGCTTTTAAACAGAGGCTGGATGGCCATCTGTCAGGGGTGCTTTGAATGCAATTTTCCTGTTTCTTGGCAGGGGGTTGGACTGGATGGTCCATGAGGTCTCTTCCAACTCTGATTCTATAAAAGGCTCCAAAACCCTGGCAAGAGGGCAAGTGTAGGTTCTCTCTCTTTAGATCAGAAACACCAGTGTCCATTGTCTTTCAGCTATATGGTTGTGCAAACATTGTGTGAAGAGGAAAACAGTGATGCTAAGACTTGGTTTTGCATACAAGTTATGCCTTTGGTCCTGGAACCCCTCCAGCCAAGAAGGCAGTTCTTAGTCCCGACTGTAAGCTCAGTGACCTTGACTTCCAGAAATTGAAAGAGAGCTTTCAACAATGTGTGCCACCCCTGATTATTCTAGCAAACTGTTTCTTTCATTATCTTTCCCTTGTGCTTGTTCGCCTTCAGTACCTCCGTGCTGCAGCCTTCCCAACAGCTTTTGTGTGTGTCCTTATGGGGGGGGGGGGGGGGGTTTGATGCAGTGCTTAAAATAAATGGGTGTCCCTCAGGACTTCTCTTCTGAGCAGTTTTTTGCTTCCCTCCCGTGACTATTCCGTAGGCTTCAGTGGGCGAGGAGGGTTCCTCTGGCACTGTGAAGCGAAACCAAGGATATAGCTTTTCAATATAGAGAGGAAAACAGCTGTGTGTTTGTCTCACCCATCCACCCCCGGCTGCCTTGCAAACGTACCGGGTCGGGAGCCCTCATAATCGCTGCTTGTCGGATGCAAAATAGGAACCAGCTTTTGATTTCCACGGAGCTTCACACAGCTTGTAAGGCCAGAGGGAAGGAGGGAGTTTCGTGGGGCTCTTGAATAAACAGCTTTATATTAACTGAATTATTATTGAGCTGAAACTCAATGGAGCCGGCAAGGTGACCCAAATTTGGTGCCAGGAAAGCGGAATTCTGAAATCTGTGTAAACTATGCAAATAAGCCGATCTTCCTGTATTTGCTTTTATGTATTTATTCATTCATGGTTTGTTCTGCTTCTGTGAGTCATGGGTAAGAGAGGCAAACAGTTATTCCATGTTTTGAAGCTACTCTGCAACCACTTGATGGTTGCTCATTCTCACCACCTTGGTGTTGAAGATTTTCCTACACTTTCTAATGTTGGCAGCCTTCAGGCAGGTTGGGGAAGCTCTGGCTCTCAAGATGTCACAGGACTCCAACTCCTATCAGCCTAAACAGTGGTCCAGTATGATGGGAGTTGACGTCCAACAGTCTCTGGAGGGCACAGGTTTTCAACCCTTGTCTTAAGGGCTTCTTTGCCATGTTGTGAATAACTGTAACAGAGGTCTTCAGCCTATTGAACTATGCTATTGAGAAGTGATTTTTGTCTCCTTTGTATAATACAATAGGGTTTTTTTTTTCATGTCAGGAGAGACTTGAGAAACTGCAAGTCGCTTCTGGTGTGAGAGAATTGGCCATCTGCTAGGACGTTGTGCAGGGGACGTCCAGGTGTTTGATGTTTTACCATCCTTGTGGGAGGCTTCTCCCACATCCCCATATGAGGAGCTGGAGCTGACAGAGAGAGCTCATCCATGCTCTCCTCAGATTCGAACCGCTGACCTGTCAGTCAGCAGTCCTGCTGGCACAAAGGTTTAACCCAGGGGTCCTCAAACTATGGCCCACGGGCTGGACCCAGCCCCCTGAGGGCATTTATCCAGCCTGCGGGTTTTGGAGAAGGGTGAGTCCCCCTTTGGGGCTGCTTCCCCCGCCACCTCCCTGGGCCCAGCCTGCTATTCTCCTGCCTTTGGGACACAGCCTCGCCTCGTCAGGAAAGCAGGAGAAGGCGGGGGAGGCGGCGGGCGAAGCGGCTTTGGGGCCGCTTCCACTGCCGCCTCCCTGGGCCCAGCCTGCTGTTCTCCTGTCTTTGGGACGTGGCCTCACCTTGTCCAGAAGGCAGGAGAAGGCAGGGAAGGTGGTGGGCGAAGCGGCTTCCACCCTCAATTCAACCATCTGCTAGGACGTTGCGCAGGGGACGCCCAGGTGTTTGATGTTTTACCATCCTTGTGGGAGGCTTCTCTCACATCCCCATATGAGGAGCTGGAGCTGACAGAGAGAGCTCATCCATGCTCTACTTAGATTCGAACCACTGACCTGTCAGTCAGCAGTCCTGCTGGCACAAAGGTTTAATCCAGTGTCCTCAAACTATGGCCCGCGGGCTGGACCCAGCCCCCTGAGGGCATTTATCCAGCCTGCGGGGTGTGGAGAAGGGTGAGTCCCCCTTTGGGGCTGCTTTCCCCACCGCCTCCCTGGGCCCAGCCTGCTATTCTCCTGCCTTCGGGACGCAGCCTTGCCTCGTCTGGAAGGCAAGAGAAGGTGGAGGAGATGGCGGGTGAAGCAGCTTTGGGGCCGCTTCCCCTGCCGCTTCCCCTGGGCCCAGCCTGCTGTTCTCCTGCCTTTGGGACATGGCCTCGCCACGTCCAGAAGGCAGGAGAAGGCGGGGGAGATGGTGGGCAAAACGGCATCCACCCTCAATTCAACCATCTGCTAGGACGTTACGCAGGGGACGTCCAGGTGTTTAATGTTTTACCATCCTTGATTTACTTGGTTGCTGTGAGTTTTCCGGGCTGTATGGCCATGTTCCAGGAGCATTCTCTTCTGACATTTTGCCCACATCTATGGAAGGCATCCTCAGAGGTTATGAGGTCTCTGTGGATGCCTGCCATAGATGTGGGTGAAACATCAGTAGAGAATGCTTCTGGAACAGGCCATACAGCCCAGAAAACACACAGCAACCTACTGATTCTGGCCATGAAAGTTTTTGCCAACATCTTAAACCAGGGATCCTCAAACTAAGGCCCAGGGGCTGGATACGGCCCTCCAAGGTTATTTTCCCGGCCCTTGTCTGAAATGATTTGAAAGCACACAACAACAACAATAACAATAACAACAACAATCCTATCTCATCAGCCAAAAGCAGGCCCACACTTCCCATTGAAATACTAATAAGTTATATTTGTTAAAATTGTTCCTCATTTTAATTATTGTATTGTTTTAAAGTGTTTTTTTGCACTACAAATAATATATGTGCAGTATGCATAAGAATTCATTCATGTTTTTTTCAAATTATAATCCGGCCCTCCAACAGTTTGTGACCTGGCCCTCTGTTTAAAAAGTTTGAGGACCCCTGGTTTAACCCATTGCATCACCAGAGGCAAAACAGTGGTGGTACCATGGAAGGGCCCCCGGTGGCGCAGTGGGTTAAAGCACTGAGCTGCTGAGCTTGTTGATCGAAAGGTCGCAGGTTCGATTCCGGGGAGCGGCGTAAGCTTCCGCTGTCAGCCCTAGCTTCTGCCAACCTTGCAGTTCGAAAACATGCAAATATGAGTAGATCAATAGGTACCGCTCCGGCGGGAAGGTAACAGCGCTCCATGCAGTCATGCCGGCCACATGACCTTGGAGGTGTCTACGGACAACGCTGGCTCTTCGGCTTAGAAATGGAGATGAGCACCACACCCCAGAGTCAGACATGACTGGACTTAATGTCAGGGGACTACCTTTACCTTTACCTACCATGGAATTAATATGGTGGTCATGGGAAAAGATTGTTTCTGTGAGTATGCAGAAAGCTGAGCCAACCTTCTCACAGGGCAAATAAACCATCTTCCCTATATCCATTATTTAGGTGCCTAAGCGCCTTTGGAAACGGTGCAACATCTTTTTATAAAAGGAATATATCCCTGCCTGAAAGCCTACAATCTAAATTTTGTAGAGCATAGCATCTCATTTTTATGCGCTACATATTGGCAAGTGATGCCTCCCTGCTGTCTAGAATACTGACTGTCTGCGCTGCCGGTGATGTATGGAATCTGGCGTCAGATAGCAAACAGTGCCAATTGTGCCCTGTTGCGCTTTTAAAAATGAGATAGTAGCCATCAGCATTGCAGAAGAAAAGCAGGTTTTTAAAAAGATGAATATGGAAGGCAATAAGGACAATCAGGTTGGAAGTCTGTGACAATTGGGCCAAACTTGTTGCCAACTGTTTTAACCCCATTTGTAAAACCTTGTCTATTTTTGTTCCTCTTGCAGTGGCAGGGAGAGACGCAGGAGTTCTGCCCGGGTGCCAAGGTGGTCCTAGTCGGTTGCAAACTGGACATGCGCACCGATCTAAACACTTTACGAGAACTCTCCAAACAGCGCCTTATACCCGTCACACATGAACAGGTGGTTTGTTGTATTGTATTAATGACCAGAATTCTCTTGGGCAACTGTGCATATATGTATCTTACACATTTACATCCTCTAATTTGGAAGCTATGTGGAGAGCATCAACATTTCCTAAACCTTACTTACTGGTAAGCAGCTCCTGCAATCGACAGGGATCCATTCCCCTGTGGGTCTGAAAGCAAGCAATATAGTGCAATCTTGCAACAGGGGTCCTTTTTTCTACTTGTTGTACTGCAGATTGTTCATAGGAGGGGATGGGAATGTCAGGCAGCTGCTTAACAATTGATAGGAAATGGATCTCTGACAATCCAAGCTAACTACTTACTGGTATGTGGCATTACCGGGGAGTAGGGGGTGTTTACTATATGGCAATGTCATTGCGGTGATTTGTGGTATGCAGTAGTCATATAGGACATAGCAGTATTCCATTGATATAGTATAATCATGTTCCTTTCTTTTGCGTTTTAATGTTTGATTTTATATTGCTGTGTCGCTTATTATATTGGTTTTGCTTTTTATGTATTTTATTTTCTGGTTTTGTTATGCTTTTGTGTTATATTGTGTTTACTGTACTGGTGTAAGCCGCACCGAGTCGCCCTGGGGGAGATGGAGCAGGGTATAAATAAGGTATTATTATTATTTATCATTATTATTCCTTTCGACCTTCACAATCGTGAAGCCAACAGGAAATTGAAAGTCACTTGGGAAGGTCAAGAGCTTGAACATTGTATCAATCCTAAATGTCTCGGTGTCACCTTAGATCAGGGGTCCACAAACTAAGGCCCGAGGGCTGGAGACGGCCCTCCAAGGTCATTACTCGGCCCTCGCTCAGGGTCAACCTAAGTCTGAAACGACTTGAATGCACACAACAACAATCCCATTTAATCAGCCAAAAGCAGGCCCACACTTCCCATTGAAATACTAATAAGTTTATATTTGTTAAAATTGTTATTCATTTTAATTATTGTATTGACTTCTTAAGGGTCTTTTTTTGCTGATGTCGCTTGTTGTTTATGCTTTGGTTTTATTTTGCTGTAATATGTTGTCTGGGCTTGGTCCCATGTAAGTCACTCCGAGTCCCCATTGGAGATATGGTGGCAGGGAATAAATAAAGAATTATTATTATTATTATTATTATTATTATTATTATTATTATTATTATTATTATTTGCAATACAAATAAGATATGTGCAGTGCGCATAGGAATTAATTCATTTTTTTTCAAATTATAATCCGGCCCTCTAACAGTTTGAGGGACAGTGACCTGGCCCTCTGTTTAAAAGGTTTGAGGACCCCTGCCTTAGACTGAACACTAGCATATAGAAAACACAGCTTGAACACCAACCACAAAGTAGATGCACACAATAGCATTCTGCGGAAACTTACTGGCAGCACATGGGATGCAAACCCAAAATTAGTAAGAATATCAGCCCTAGCCTTGTCTTACTCAACTGCTGAGTATGCCTGCCCTGTTTCTCATAGGTCTGCCCATGCAAAGCAGGTGAACATAGCACTGAATGAAACATGCAGAATAATCACAGGATGTCTTAAACCTACACCTGTTGATAAACTCTACAAGCTAGCTGGCATTGCCCCCCTGATGTGTGATGGGAAGTTGCTGCTAAACATGAGAGAAATAAGGTTGAACATTGTGAAAGCCACCCACTACATGGTTACTAGATTTCTACATTTAAGTCATTGACGTGCTGGCTGATACCCAAACATGACCAAGCTTTCCATGGCTTTCCATGACCAAGCAGGGATTTGAACTCTCATCTCTCAGTACCCCAGTTCAGCACTCAAACCATTATACCAGGGGTCCACAAACTAAGGCCCAGGGGCCAGATACAGCCCTCCAAGGTCATTTACCTGGCCTTTGCTCAAGGTCAACCTAAGTCTGAAACAACTTGAAATCACATAACAACAACAATCCTATCTCATCAGCCAAAAGCAGGCCCACAAATCAAATTAGAATTTGGCCCTCCAACAGTTTGCGGGACTGTGACCTGGCCCTCTGTTTAAAAAGTTCGAGGACCCCTGCATTATACCATGCTGGCTCTACGGCAAAGATATGTAGCTCTGCATTTGAGCACAGATTCCTTGTGTATTTGAGCACAGGTTCTTGGCTTCTTTAGTGAAATAGGAGGAGGAGAAGCCCATCTGATTCTTCATCTCAAGCAGCAAAATGTTTTGAACCAACCCTGCCACTATCCTCTGCTGGTGCCAGCTGTGAGTGTTGGGCCCTGAGGATTGCCAATACAGCAAAGCAGTTCTTTTTTGTTTGTTTGTTTTGCATCGTAGCAAATGCAAATGCACTCTTCTCACTTCATCGTGTTTCTCACACCCCATCCCCCTCTTGCTTAACTAAAAAAAAAGAAATTGTATTTCCATCTTTAAGGGAAAAAAGCTAAAATTAATTGCTAGCTGTGATGTTGAAGAAACATATGGAGTTAGGGTGTCTGGGGGAGATGTTGGGTGGAGAACGTCTCGCAGGGAGAGAAAAGATGACGCTCTGTTTAGGAAGATTGGCACAAGTATTTTAGAGGAGGCCTTCTTAAACCTTTTCCTCTCATTAGCATTTTCCTTCTGAGAAATACTTATATGACCCCAGATATATAGGAGTATGACTGTGAGAGCCGTTCAGCAGTGGAACTCTCTGCCCTGGAGTGTGGTGGAGGCTCCTTCTTTGGAGGCTTTTAAACAGAGGCTGGATGGCCATCTGTCAGGGGTGATTTGAATGCAATATTCCTGCTTCTTCGCAGGGGGTTGGACTGGATGGCCCATGAGGTCTCTTCCAACTCTTTGATTCTATGATATTATAATTCGATGAAATAGGTATTAAAACCAGACATTTACTGATAATAAATTATATATTTGCAAGCCTTGCAAAAAAAGCTGATTTGTGGAGTATAGCTGATGCATTTAATCCAGCGTTCACAGAAAACACTGCGTATCGTTTCTACTTGTGCATTTTACCTGTTAGTGCAATCAAACTCTACCTCGTCCCTCAGACCCCCGCTTTCCAGATACATTATATTATATTGTTCTATCACCCAGTGTTTTAAAACTTTTAATCCGAGATACTCAAACTATGGCCCGGGGGCCGGATACGGCCCTCCAAGGTCATTTACCCGGCCCTTGCTCAGGGTCAACCTAAGTCTGAAACCACTTGAAAGCACACAACAACAATCCTATCTCATCAGCCAAAAGCAGGCCCACACTTCCCATTGAAATACTAATACGTTTATATTTATTATTATTATTATTATTATTATTATTATTATTATTATTATTAACACAACAAAATGAGTCCACAGCAGACATTCAACTGGCTGTTGTATTGGATCACACGTCGGACACTTCCCAAGTGTCTAGTTCTGTGTGATGTATCGGCAAATAATGTGTGCAGATCCCAGTAAGGTGGCCTTCGGCAGCTGGCAGCTGGTAATTTTGTCAGCGCCGATTGTTTTTAAGTGCAGGCCAAGGTCTTTAGACACTGCACCCAATAATAATAATAATAATAATAATAATAATAATAATAATAATAATAATAATAAATTTATTTATTTATTTACGATATTTATATGCCTCCCTTCTCGCATTGAAGGGGACTCAGAGTGGCTTACAAGTAAAAAGTAAATACAATATATTATTATTATCATAGCACAATATTAATATTATATATTGCATTGTACTATAACATTATACTGTAATAGGGTAAAGGTAAAGGTTGTCCCCTGACATTAAGTCCAGTCATGTCTGACTCTGGGGTGTGGTGCTCGTCTCCATTTCTAAGCCGAAGAGCTGGCGTTGTCCATAGACACCTCCAAGGTCATGTGGCCGGCATGACTGCATGGAGTGCCTTTAACTTCCCGCCAGATCTGCTCACATTTGCATGTTTTCAAACTGCTAGGTTGGCAGAAGCTAGGGCTGATAGCGGAAGCTCATGCCGCTCCCTGGAATCGAACCTGCGACCTTTCGGTCAACAAGCTCAGCAGCTCTGTGCTTTAACCCACTGTGCCACTGGGGGCTCCTATACTGTAATATTATTAGTAATATTACATTTAATATAAAATATATAATTATTATATCATTTTATTAGTAGTAATTGTATATTGTATTACATTATAATATTATCAATAGTATATGTATATACAATATATTATATTATATTATCATTATTACCAGACTTGTGTAAATGGGTGATGTTCAGAAATCTTTTACAACTGTCAAGTTTTTGTGGCCACAACACTGAGCTTAGAGGACCCCATTTGAGGTTGGGATCTAGAGTTTAAGAAGTAGTATCAAGGAGCGGATCCTTTGGAAAAACTGAAGGGAGAGGTGTGAGATGAGCAAAATGGGTAAAGAAAAGAAAGCCAGTGATGACTATGGCCCTAATGCATTGATGCCTTTTCCTCTCCTCAGGGCAGTATGCTGGCCCGGCAACTGGGCGCGGTGGCCTATGTGGAGTGCTCTTCCAAGTCGTCTGAGAACAGTGTGCGGGACGTTTTCCACGTGACCACCCTGGCCTCCGTCAACCGCGTTCACAAACACCTCAAGCGCAGTAACTCAAAGCGAGGGCTGAAGCGGGTGGCACAGCTGCCCGGGCGGACGGACTTGTTGACTGACTCTGAGATCCGTAAAGACCGAGCCAAGAGCTGCTCGGTGATGTGAGAGAGGAGGTTGAAGTATAATGTTGCCTGTCTTGTTCATATCTCTTTGTACAGTAACTGGTCCCAGAGAGGTCTCTGCCCTGCAGACCACATTCCCGAGGATGCGGGTCTGAGAAAACTAAGCCGTCCCTTGAAAGAATCAGGTTGGATAGGGAGGGATCTGCCTGACGTTGCTGTGCGTAGAGGGAGGGCTTCTGGATGGGCCAGTGTTGCACAGGACATAGAAATGCTCAGGTAGCAGATGTATATTCTCCAAAGAAAGGAGCACATCCATGTATGTGGCACAGCAGGGGGGAAATTCTTCAAATCCTCCAAAGAGTTCATTATTTTGGAGCTAATTTTGCAAGCATAGGTGTCCAGGCAACTGGGTGTCTGGTATTTTTGCAGCCATGGTGTGTGGCAGTTGGGCTGCGCACATAGCATGTGTGTGCCTCTGTGTGTGTGTGTTTGTGAAATGTATGCACAAGCAAGGCTTGGGACTAGTTAGTAGAATACAGGAGCTACAGAATGTTTAATTATTTGAGTAGACAACATGGGGGTGATGATTCAGCAGGGCAGGATTGTGGCATTTGGCTATTTTGTGTTGTGTCAAACAAAAACAATGCATTTAAAGCCTTCAGGTGACAGAAGAAGACCATTTTGAGAGTTTGAAAAGTTTTTTTTTTGTCATTGCACTTCCTAGAATCACCCCAACCAGCATTACTATTAGTCATGTTGGCTGTAGGATCATTGGAGTTGCAATCCAAAAATAATATATGTGAGCTCTGGTCATTTTACTGTCCTAGAGACATTAACATTGGGCACTATCAGGTGAGAAGCTAGCCTGTTTTTTCCTACAAACAGGTTGTGTTTCTATTTGACCCCCCCTCCCCAACCCATGACAGCTGGAAAGCTGAGAAGCCATGTCTGCAAGAGCCATTCCTCCTTCCTCCATTCCATGGCAGTCCCACACTCTGATGCCTTAAGTTTGGTGGCACGGCACCTATGTGTGCCTTGCTGGCTTCCTACGAAGCAAAAGGAAGCCATATACTTTGCTGCACACACTCCGATATCACTGCAGGAAGACCATATCCCTCATTCCTATTTCCTTGTTCCTCTCAAACATGGTGCTGGCGATGCGGATATGCAAAGCTGTTGTGAAGGATTGCTCCTCAGTCACTGACCCAGGTAGTAAATTGACCGTGAAATCACCAAGCCAGGAAAGTTTTGATGACGTATTGCTGTTTCATCTTTCCCGTTCACAGTGCTGCTTTGTGTATTTGTGTTGTACCAAAGAATACTCCTTTGGGGATTTAGACAACATTTTTCCCTCCCCCTCCCAAAACTCACATCTGAAGGCCACCAATAACTGGGAATGACGTTGGTAACTGGTCCTACTTCTCTGGAAACTCAGGAGCCAGGGGATAAATCTGGATGTGTGTGGCAATACAACCATGTAAATTCCTCTTGAGATTATTTGGAGAAATGAGCTTGGTAGACAGTTGCACAATTGTGTGTGTATATATGTGCGTGTATGTCTGTGTTAGATAGAAACTAATAATAATAATAAATTAATAAAACTTTATTTATACCCCGCCACCATTTCCCCAAGGGGGACTCAGAGCGGCTTACATGAGGCCAAGCCCGACAACACATCAATAAAACAAAAAACACAACTAGGGAGTAATAAGTCATCTTAATGTTTCTTAAGTACCTTGGCGGATCAGTGAGGCTAAGTCAGTAACTACGGTCAATGGACAAATCTGTGATAACTGAAACAGGCAAAGATAACTGCTGGCTATCAGCACAGGGCCTGAGAAGTGAGCTGGAAAATTCAAGTCATCTTATGCTTAGTGAGAAAGAAGCTTTCAAAGGAATGTGAACAGGCATCTGACTAGATCTGAGTTCAAGGAAAAATACAGAAAGGATGATGCCTGGCTCGACAACAGTCCACAAGAAAAAGATCTTTTTGTCTTTGTGGACAAAAAGTTGAACATGAGCCAACAGTGTGATGCAGCAACTAAAAAAGTAAATGGGATTTTGGGCCACATCAAAAGGAGTCTAGTGTCTAGATCAGGAGTCCTCAAACTAAGGCCCGTGGGCCAGATGTGGCCCTCCAAGGCTCTTCACCCAGCCCCCGCCCTAACTTTAGACTGAGAGTTGCCCTATGTCTAAATGACTTGAAGGCATACAACAACAATAATAATCCTATTTAACTTGACTATCTCACCAGCCAAAAGCAGGCCCACATTTCCTATTGAAATACTGGGAAGTTTATGTTGGTCAAAATTGTTCTCCATTTAAAATATTATATTGTTCTTTCTTCTTCTTTTTTTGCACTACAAATAAAACATGTGCAGTTTGCCTAGGAATTTATTTCTGTTTTTTTCAAACTATAGTCCAGCCCCCCAACCGTCTGAGGGAATGTGAACTGGCCCTCTGCCTAAAACGTTTGAGGACCCCTGGTCTAGATCGAGGGAAGTCATGGTGCCTCTCCATTCTGCTTTGGTCAGACCTCACCTCGAATACTGTCTCCAATTCTCAGCACCACAGTTTAAAAGAGATATTGACAAGCTGAAAAGTGTCCAGAGGAGGGCAACTAAAATGATCAAAGGTCTGGAGACCATGGATCCCTATGAGGAGCATCTTAAAGAGCTGGGTATGCTTTGCCTGCAGAAGAAGAAATTGAGAGGAGACATGATAGCCATGTATAAATATGTGAAAGGATGTCATAAGGAAGAGGGAGCAGGGTTGTTTTCTGTTGCCCTGTAAACTAGGACTCTGAGCAATGGGTTCAAATTACAGGAAAGGATATTCCACCTGAACATTCGGAAGAAAGGAGATTCCACCTGAACATTAGGAAGAACTTCCTGACTGTAAGAGCTATTCAGCGTGGAACTCTCTGCCTCAGAGTGTGGTGGAGGCTCCTTCTTTGGAACCACTTAAACAGAGGCTGGATGGCCATCTGTCAGGGGTACTTTGATTGTGCTTTTTCTGAATGGCAGGGGGTTGAACTAGATGGCCCATGTGGTCTCTTCCAACTTTATTATTTTACTAGCTTGGGGACCCAACGGTGCCCGGGTTATTTGAGAAAGGCATTGTGTGCCAAGGTTGGTCTTTATCAGTTATTTATGTGGCTGGCAGTGGTCTCAGGAAGTTAGTGAAGGTACTACGAGTCCCATCGTCCATGGTTCATCCTCCTCCAAACAGTAGCAGGATGTAGGGTGGCTCATGGGGGCTCTGTGTGACAATTTTGGTCTTGATCAGTCATTGGATGAGGGTCGCAGTGGTCTCGTGAAGTTAGTGGAGGTACTGCGAGTCCCATCATCCATTGTTCATCCTCCTCCAAACAGTAGCAAGATGTAGGGTGGCTCATGGGGGCTCTGTGTGCCAATTTTGGTCTTGATCAGTCATTGGATGAGGGTCGCAGTGGTCTCGTGAAGTTAGTGGAGGTACTGCGAGTCCCATTGTCCATGGTTCATCCTCCTCTAAACAGTAGCAGGATGTAGGGTGGCTCATGGGGTCTCTGTGTGCCAATTTTGCTCTTGATCAGTCATTGGATGAGGGTCGCAGCCATCTTGTAAAGTTAGTGAAGGTACTTCAAGTCCCATCATCCATTGACCATCCTTCTCCAAACTGCATCAGGATGTAGAATGAGTCATGGGGGCTCTGTGTGCTAACTGTGGTCTTGATCAGTCATTTGTGGAGGCCACAGTGGTATGTGGTTGCCCAAACGTTTTAAAATACTACAAAACCAATAATCCGTGGTCCACCTCCCCTCAAACTGCACCAGGACATAAAGTGGGTCATGGGGGTTATGTGTGCCAAGTTTGGTCCGTCGCTCGTGCATGTTACAGTGGCCTGTGAAAGTGGCAGCCAATCAGAAAGCTGCCAAATACATACATGCACACATACATACAAACATTCTCTTTTATTATAGACTAGCCATCCCCTGCCACGCATTGCTGTGGCCCACATGGGGGTTCTGTGTGGGAGGTTTGGCCCAATTCTATCGTTGGTGGGGTTCAGAATGCTCTGTGATTGTAGGTGAACTATAAATCCCAGTAACTACAACTCCCAAATGTCAAGGTCTTCTTTTCTCTCTTGATGCTGCCTTAACAACTCTTCTGTGAGGCTTGTACATTTGATAAAATACTAATAGGTGGTAAGTGGTTCTCATTTTTGGTCTTTGGTTCTGTTCTCCATGTGTTACGATTAGAGCTGATGCTGAGCCAAGGCTTAACATGAAAAAGAGATCTTGGCAGAGAAATCTGCTCTCAAATAAGCTCTGAGCACAGAAGGAGCGTGAAAGCTTTTGGCAGGAGAAGACCCTCACGTCAAATCAGGAATTACATCTTGTGTGCTAAGTGCAGTAGCTTTCGATCAGCTTTCCCCAACCTAGTGCCTCTCAGATGTGTTGACCTAGAGCTCCCACCTTCCCACCCTTCCCTTTTCTACAGCTACAGCCTAAGACTCTGACCGCCTAACAGAGTATGGCTGGTTTGGTGCCACTGCTTTACTGGCTTCACACACCGGATTATAAGAGGTTGCCTATTCCACCCGTCTGACCAAAATGGCCTGATTGTTCATATGCTGGGTTTGAGCACAGCGACTCCATTGTCCTGGCTTGTAAGCCAGAGCTGAGCAGCAGCTGCTGTTCCGGCATTCTTCTTCTTAAGCCTGAACTCTGTCTGGGATTTGGACACAGGTTATCTCAGGCTACAGTCAAGTGCTATCCAAGTTGAGAGCAAGCATGTAAAACTATGTCCTTCCCTATCAGACCTTTCATAACAACAGAAAATATGAGAGAGTGAGAAAGATTATGCAGAAGGGAACTTGGAATCTTACTTACCATATATTCTGGCGTATAAGACTACTTTTTAACCCAAAAAAATCTTCTCAAAAGTCAGGCAACGTCTTATACATGGGAGTCGTCTTATGCGCAGGCGTAGTCTTATACGCGGTAGTCGTCTTATGCACTGGAGTAGCCTTATACGATGGGAGTCATCTTATAGAGTGGGTGCTGAAACTTCCAATCTGGATTGGAGAATCTGTAGTTGCTGCATATTGTGGAGGGGGCTCAAAAATGGCAGTGGACCCATCTCTACTGTATGCAGTGACTGTATGAAAGCATTAAGGGCGACTCTGTACAAGTACGGTAGAAGAAAATCCATTCATCAGGATTCGTGGACTTAATGCGGTCCCGATGGTGAGGTGAAGGAGCGTCTCACCGGGAAGGTGTAAGTGAAGGGCGGAGCAAGCTGCAGATGTCCGGGGTGCCCGGCATATGGAAAAAAGAGATAGAGTGGCTCTGGGCCCTGAAAAACACACCTCTTTTACCTGTCTGGCCCGCCCTTGTATGCTATTACCGTACCTCCTCCTCTGCCTCTCAGATCTTGCTCCTGAAGACTGCAGTGAAGTGGTGCACGTGCACATGTGCGAGATTTGAGAGGCAGAGAAGGAGGTATAGTAATAGGAAAATTACCATATTGAAATCAAATCTGATGCTTTAAAAAATTTTATTTGGTGTGTGTTGGAAGAGAGGTAGTCTTATACGGCAAGTATATCCTAAACTCTATATTTTAACTGGAAAAGTTGGGGGTCATCTTATATGCCCAGTCGTGTTATATGCCAGAATATACGGTACTTAAGTGATCCCTCGTTGTCTGAGGATGATGGTCCTCCAAGATCAGTGTTCTGGCGGATCCTCCAAGATCAGTGTTCTGGACACCGAACTTGGAGGACCATCATCCTCAAACTACGAGGGATCGCCTAAGTAAGTAAGTAAGTCTGGCGGTGGGTCCATAGGTGACTGTGAAGCCCTATTCTT